GCTATGAACTCACCCACACATGCCCAATCCATCCCACGCAACTTAACTCACACCAAAACAACCCAGCCCAAGTTAGGTCCCTACAACCACAAGGGAAGATTGGCTACCTATCCTTGGCCTAGGGCGACTCCCTAGCGCCGTTTGGAGCCTAGAAAACTGATGAGCGTTGAATGTTGCACATTCTAGCCATTAAAGTTACATATCTTAGCTCTTTAATAATGCTTATGTAGTTATATTTACATCATTTACTTGGTTTCGGTTATTTTCAAGTATTCATCGTCAAAATTGGTCAATTCTACTTCATTCAGACCTTTAACGGTGTTTCCAAGAATTGGGGCATGTTCGGGAATGATTTTGGGGGTTAAAGGATGAATAAAACAAAATTCATGAAGCCACGATCAATCCTAGCTTCCCTAAAATCGATCCTAATGACTCCACTATTCATAAGCACATATTGCAAGCTTCCCGAAGACAAAATATCTCTGCCAAGGTTACGATCGATCGTGGCCTTGGTACAATCGATCTTGGACATATCATACTTCAATCCTATTTGATGCAGGATTTATATATTTTTCTCCTTTCTTACCCAATACAGGTCGGACTTCATCAAAAGCTTATGGTTCACATTCATGGCCCGATCTGGAGCTTATTTAGGGTATGATTACGACAATTGAAGAGAGCTTTTCGAAGATCAAAGTTCTAGACATATATTGGCAGCTTGACTGTATGCCCTTTATAGCACCAAAAGGCATTGTAATGACATTTTATATTAATTGAATCTATGACATTATGTTTTACATCTATACATATCTATTGTGAATGTTGTGTATTGTTCGGTTCATGAGATGAATCGAAGGGTTCCATTGACTACGCGAGTGATTTGGTGTGTGCAAGGATAGAAATATCATGGTCGGGATCACAAGTCAAGATAATCGCGTTATCATAAATATCTTTTAAATATAGTTCTACTTCAGCTATAAAGATTCCTATCGAAGCAAGAAAAAAGCTGGATCGACAATAAGTAAAGATATTACAACCACCATCATTGTAATATTCTCCTTATCAGTGTTATGGCGTAATAACTCTTAAGCATGAGAGGACTGTGACAACTAGCTGAAGAACTTCAACCAATAGTCCGAGCATGGCCTTTCCGAGGTTGGGCGATGGATTCTATTGGCATGATCCACCCATCTTCCTCGCAGAAACATTGTCATATTTTCATGGCCACAAACTATTTTACCAAACGAATCGAGGTTGTGCCCATGAAAACTTGTAATGAAGCCGCAATAATCAAGTTCGTGAATGAATATATCATTTATAGGTTTGGTCTACCAGAGATGCTTATGGCTGATCACGCCTCTATCTTCAAGGGGTCGAACGAAAGATCTAGCTTACAATTTCAACCCAATATTACGCCCAAATCTTCCAATAAAGTCATCAAAGGCATTGTTGAGAAGATAGTCAAAGGGAATATAAAGGAATGGCACACCTACAAAGAAGCAAAGAAGCAATGTGCATAGAACTCGATAATATGGATGAAGAGCGATTAAGAGCACTTTACCACATACAGGCCAGAAGTTCCAAGTGGCTTGAGCCTACAAAATACTACGTATATGTTAATAGAAAAGTAGATTTCGAATCGTAACTAAATCTTCAAAGTTGGATCATTCGGAGTGAATGAGCTAGTATGGAAACTCATTCTTCCTCTTGGAACAAAGGACAAAGGAAATGGAAAATGGTTCCTATAGTGGGAAGGACCATTTGTAATAGAGGAAATGCGGGAAAGAGGGTCATACTTGGTGCGAAATCTAGAAGGGTTCATCCATAACAATGTTGTGAATGGACGCCATTTGAAGAACTATTACCATGGTGCAGGCCAGGACAATCTTGCAGAGAGTGGTTGTTCCCCCTAATTGATCGACAAGGATTAAATGGTGGGGCACTCGCTGAATTAGGAAGCGAGCCAACTCTGCGATTTGATGAAATTTGGGTTGTCGATTAGGACACATGATGATTGCGACATGCACCTCGAGCGTAAAAGGGATTTTACTGATAAATTATTCAAAATTCAACACTCAAAAATTTTCATTTAAAAAAAAACAAGAAAAAAAAGAAGATCATATAGGTCAATTGATTGAATTTTAATAAATTAATTGAAATGTTTAATTTCATAACTCGTTACGAATTCGAGTTCAATAATCTATGAGCTAAAATATCATATATGAATTATAATTCAATAATAATCCGAATTTAATACAATATATATATATATATATATATATATATATATATATAGACTCTGTAATACTTTTATTTTTATAAAATTCAGATAAGTATATTAATGACATAATATTTGTGTAATATTAAAATATTTTTTATTATTATTTTCTTGTTCTTCTTCATCCTCGATCTCTATTGTCTTTATTTAAAATATTTTTTATTATTAATTTTCGACTTCTATATATTTTGTTTTTCTATAATCATTCCTTTTTGATCTTTTTAATATTATTTTTTTTAATAAAAAATTACTTCCTTTAAAATTTTAATATTTGATTAACAAAAATCAAATTAAAAAATAAATAATTCATCGAGTTATCGAATCATATTATATTAAATATAACTCTTATAGATTTTTGAATTGGGTCAGACCTACTCTGATAAAATTCAATCTGTTTACAATACTGCTAATGGCCCAATGCATTGTACAAATATAATTATGAATTAGTAGAAATCAAAAAGAATATATCTATTTTAATTTTCAAATAAGTAATTATAACATATCAATTAGGGTGTGTTAGGATATATGGAATTGAAGTTTTGGAATCGGAATTAGTGGAATTTGAAAAAAATAACTAAGAAAATTGAATCAAATTTTTTTCAAATTTCACAAATCAATTTTAAGACTCCAATTCTAAACAGCCAAACACACCTAAAAGCAAAACTACCAGGACAATCCTCTCATAGCAAGAGTGGTCAGCTCTCTTTTAAGGTTTTGTGTGCGCGCTTGTGCACATGAGATTTATATGGAGACCTAGAGACGTGTGTAGAGATTCATTGATAAAAGTTTAGGTTGATGTGGACGACTAAGGACAACCCTCTGTTAGGTCTTTTATTAACTCTTATATTTATGAATAATTAAATAATTTTTAAAATAAAATTCTAGATCAATGAGAACTAATTATTGACGTGTGTTCGAATAAATAGAAAATGTAGAAATGAGCTGATTATTAGTTAGATAAGAGCATAGAGAGGAAAGGAGATTAAGTTGTTACCTCTCACTTGTTTTGTGAGTGAGAAATAATATATATATTTTTTGTCCTAGATAATTAGTGGGAGGGACAAGGATGAGGGGTGATTCAAATATAGGCACACCTATTTAGAGAGTTGCCCACTTAAATGATGTTCAAAATATTTTAAAAACATAATGTCATTTCTTATTAAAAACTGACCAATTTTGGGCCTAGACCCGAAAAGTATTTTTTCCGTTCGCTCCGCATATTATCTAGCTACTATGTTTTTGACTGGGGGTAATTTTGCGCCTTCTCTAACCGTTGATGGCGATCATTTACTAGCTTCCTCCACTAAAGTGTGGCGTGAAATTTGGAAATGCAAAGCTAAAGAGAAAATTAAGATCTTTGTCTGAAAATGTTGCAAAAATGCTTTTTCAGTTTCAGCTAACCTTGTTTCCCAAGGAATTGGCATGGATTCTACATGTCAAAGATGTGGTCTTGTCGAAGAGAATTTAATTCATATGCTTTTTTCATGTCCCACTTCTGTTAGTGTTTGGAAATTGTCGCCGTTTCGGTTTGATTTTTCTTTATCTCAACCTTCTTCTTTTTAAGAGTGGCGGGGGAGCTTAATTTCTTTATGGGGCATTTCCGCAGACAGCCTTAAAGCTCTTGGTTTTGTTGCTACTTTTTGTTAGCAAATTTAGAAAGCTTGAAACTCCGTTATTTTTAATAATGAATGTTGGGCTGATATTAGGATTGTGAATTCCGCTTGCTATCTTTATTGGGAATTTTTGGACGCTTCGGAGTCTGGACTTCCTCCCTCCTTGGTTAAGACTATCACTTCTTTTCCCTCCGACTCTGGATGGACCCTCCCTTGTGTTGGTGAGATCAAATATAATGTGGATGCCTCGTTCTCTTCGGATTCCCTTCAAGGCGGTGGTGGGGCTGTTTTTCGTGATGAACATGAGTCCATTCTATATGCAGTTGTGTTTTGTCCTTTCAAAGCTCAGAATGCTTCTTTGGCTGAAGCTGTGTACCTTCGTAAAGCTCTGCTGTGCGCTCATCATTTTTCGTTCCATCGCTGTTGGTTTGAGACTGACTCCTTGATTGTTTGTAAGGCTATTTTTGATGTTGATGTTTGTTCAATGGAATTGGCGGCTGTTATTCAAGATATTCAGTGTGTACTTTAGAGAGTTCCCTCGTTTCGGCTTAGCCATGTGCGTCGACATGGCAACGAGGTGGCCCATATGATTGCTAAACTCCCTCGAAGTCATCTTCACGAGGACATTCTTCTTTCTCATATTCCATTGGATATACTCCATCGTGCACAGCTCGATTTACAGTGACTTTGGAGGCTTATGGTGTTTGTGTTGTTTGCCAGGAAAAAAAAAATAAATAAAAACCGACCAAAGTGCTTTCACTTTGAAAAGATAACAAAAATTATAAAGGGTTTCAACATATGTCTAATTTTTCTTTCTTGTGTGCAGCATTAACTTCACTCCAGTCCACAGAAAAGTCCCCTTGAACTCATTTTCAAAAAAAAAATTCGGTACTAGCAAATGTGGAAAAGGAAATCAAGAAGCATAATAACAAAAAATCATAAAATAAAATAAAATTTCAAGAAATTCCGTAGTATTTGGTTGTCAAAAAGATTATTTAATAATTTGAGAAAAGTATTCTGCTAAAATAGATCAGATAAATCCATTTTGGGTCACGACAAAAGTTTGGTATAAAATTAATAAATTAAACTCAGGCTTAGATTCACCAATCTACAAAAGTTCATTCACATTCCCTTAACCATAAACCTTATTGAATACTTAAAAAAGTAATTCTAAATATAGCAATAAGCTATTATTTGTCTGCAGTCACTCTTTAACACAAGAAATAATTTGTTACAACGGATGTGGCACGTCATTGGTACAACCACCAATGACGTGGCACAAAATAGAGTAGGTAGCATATTGGAAGTAAAATTCTTCAATCTTAATCCCTCCCTTGCTTCTATCCTCAGTTTTTTTAATATACTCTATTACTGCCTAATCAATAATTCTGATTCCCTGCGAGAGAAACATATTTTTATATTAGATATTGAAAGGAAGCAAATGATAGAGCAGATGGAGTATAATCTCTCCTATAGCATCAAATACTCAAATCTCTTTTCGGTTTCTATAATTATCATATCATCTATAGGATAGAATACCATTAAAGTTAAATTAGTCCATATAACCAAGTTAAAGCCAAAGAATTGCTCAACAAAATAGTGATTTTAGAATATTACCCATACCTCTGCACCTTTGTTCTTCCATTTGCTCAAAGTACCAGTTTGAACCCCTCTGACAGAAAATCATCTCTAATAAGAGAAAAAAAAAAAAAAAAAAAAAAGGCTACATGTAAGGTTTTGATAAATTCAATGTAAATATACAGGTACATTGCGAATTCTTGCCTATTGGTAAAGAGCAATTCAATAATAAGGTTGCTCTCATCATGAACTCACTCCCACATCCATTGGATGAGTGTGTGGCATCATAGCATACTCGATGGGAGCTCATAATGGAGTGCCCTCACTTTTCCACACGGTAAAATGCATTTAGAAGGTGCGAACTCAATACTTGGCCTCAACATGTTACAATGTAGCTAGATTAAACAGGGCTGTGCTTTATACAGTACTAAAGAGACCAGCTCCTATTCCATATTATATTTGCCATGTGATTTATCAAATTTTTTAGGGTAAAGTGCGAAAAACACCCTATAGTATGCTTACAATGCGCATCATATCCTGATGTGCAAAAAAAAAAAAAAAAAAAAGCCTAAAGTATCAATTTGTGCAAATAAATCCTTCCTGACATATTTAAGTTAGAGTTTGCCTAAATGAGACATTTTACAAATTATTTAAAAATACATTATTTTGTGAATGACAGAAAATGATACAAAACGAAGTGACGTCGTTTAAGCACAGGTAAAGTATATCACATCACTGTAAGACTTTGAACATCCAAGACTTGTCACCCTTTTTGCAAAAAGCAATAACACCTGTAAGCTTGAGTATCACTAAAGGGAAGATCCTCAGCGAATACGAGCCATCCATGGGAAGATCCTCGGCTGCGATGGTGGTTGGGGACTTCAGGTAGGTCGAGGAGGTGGATTTCGTTGGCAGAGGGGATTGAGAAGGTAGATCTTCGGCAACTCGTGGAGGAATACGAGCCAGCCATGGGAAGATCCTCAATTTTTTTATGTAGAGGTGATATCCCCACACCGTAAGGGTGAGGAAAGTAATCTACCTCAGAGCACACGCAATACCCCACAAATCACTCACAAATCACGTGTACCACTAGACAAGACCGGACAAGTCCATTTACAAACCACCTTCAATTACCATCTATTGGTAAGTACAAATGAATTTTTTTAAAAATAAAATAAAATTACAACATTAATCTACTATATATATATATATATATATATATTTACCCTTAATAGAGTATTGAGAAAATTTTGGGGGCATTAAATTTGTTATAGATTATACAAATTTGCCATTAATAATTATAAATTAGTAGGTTTTAACAAAAATGAGGGGCATAGCCCCCTCCCTCCAGCCCTGACTATGTGTAGTATACTTTAGGGGTGTTTTTCGCACTTTACTCAAATTCTATAAAGCCAATGCCAAGTAACATGAATTAAAGCAGCGAAAAGAAATTAGGCAATAAAAAATAATAATAATAATAACAACACTACAAGTTACCTCATCTTTCTGTTCATTTTCTTCTTCATTTGTAGTTGGTCCTTCTTACCATCCATTTCGCCATCACCACCACGACCACGAAGCGGAACAAGGCTTGCCACACAAATATAAGATTCTATTAAACCATCTAAACCATGAATCCCAACATTTTTTACTGTTTTCCTTTCTAAGTCATACCAAACAAGAATGTTCCCATCCTGTTCCAAAAGTATTTCCCCACCACTCCTCGAATAATCCAAAGGCCTCACATAATCGAATGACCTAATCATACTTGGTTGGGTAACAGAAAACAATTTAGTCCAAGACTCTTTAACCCCATACTCCTCCATCACCCATACTTCCACACGAACAGCAAAATAATTGCAAAGTAAAGTTAGACATCCTCCAAAGTCATTCACATTCATATGAACATTCTTATCCAAAAGCTCAGGCAGTGGCACCAACCGATATTCCTCAACCCCAAGATCAAAAGCAGCAATAAATTTGTCCGCCTTATCCGACTCCGGTCTTCGACTCACAAGCCAATGCAAAGCCCCACTAACCACCATAGCATGCTCTCGCTTGTATGGAAGGTAATAAGGGAAATCTTGAACCCTTCGCCATGTATTCGATTTTAGACTGTAAACCTTAACTTCATTATCAAATGAATCATCATCGTCTTTCTCATAAAACTGTACCACCCTCACCAACTTGTAGTCATCACTCACAGAATCATACCCAAACCCATAAACGATGAACTCGCAAATGCCAGATCCACCCGGGAACTCAATCGGTGTGACGGGTAACTTCTGGTGTTTTCGGGTTGCAGGGTTCCATAGGAAGATGCCATCCTCTTCGTAGAGATTGTTGCACAAACCGACCAAGCCATCGCAAGAACCCATCACTTCACCTCCATGGATTTTTTTCAAGGGGTGGTCAAGCAGTATGGCGTGATCGAGAGAATCGAAGTCTATGGAGTAGAGATCGCAATCTCTGCAAATGATGCTGCGATTGGTTTTGGTTTCGATGGATCGATTCAGATGCGATTTGATGAAAATTGGACTATCGATTAGCGCACACCATGGTTTTGAGACGCACCTGAATTTTAAAAGGGGTTTCACCGGTAATCTAGAAAGTATATCGACGATAACATCCGTGGGAAGTTCACACATTTTGGTTTCCAATGAATTCTAGGGTTTTGGATTATCCAACTGAGGATATATAGGAAGATTTTTAAATAAATAAACCTCCACACCGGAATTATGACTCTACCACATTAAAAAGTGTAAGAAGTATCACTTTATTGATTGTATTAAACCCTTAAAAAAAATAATAATAATAAAAAATTAAAAAAAAAAATTTGGGACTAACTCAGATATAATGAACTTTATCCAACCTGCTAATGTGGCTCAATAAAATTACTATAAGTTTTCAAATAAAATATAAAATTAAATTGGGCATTGCCTAATTTTTATTTTTAGACGTGTTTTGAATCCTAACTTTTGTTTTTTCACACTTATTTTAGATCTGTTTGGCCACATCACCAGGATGAAGTTTACAATTATTGTTCTATTCTAGATCTATTGGACACTTATTTCATCCAACCTAGGTTGGACCAAGTACTGTTTAAAAATAAATTTTTTTTTAAAAAAAAGACAATATTTTGGTGTTGGACTAAGTATATTATTCAATAATAATAATAAAACGTGGTGATAAAGTTTACAATTTGTTATGGAAGAGTAGGGCTGCAAATGAGCGGAGCCATTCGCGAATAGCTTCGGCTCGGCTCGGCTCGTTAATTACTCGGCTCGTAAATAAGTGAACCAAGCTCGAGCCAAATTATGAGGCTCGATTTATAAACGAGTCGAGTCTGAACATCGGTATACTCGACTCGTTTGTTCATGAACTGAGTTCAATAATGCATTCACGAACATACTCGATTATAATATATATATATATATATATATATATATATATATATATATATATACATACATACATACCCATTTATAATTTGTAATTGTATATAGCACATTTATATGTAGATATATATTCATGTTGGGGTCATATTGTAATTATATATAGAGTTTGTGGTTATTATGCAAATAGGCCTTTCTTGCCTTTGTATATAAACCCTTTTAATCTTTTATGTTTAGGGTTGTCTTTGCCTTTCTTGCGCCTCCTGCCTCCATCTGTTCTCTCTCTCCAAAAAAAGTCTCCAAAGCGACGCCCCAAATCATAGCACAGAGACGGCCATTGCCGATGGGAATAGCATCAGTCCAGTGCTTGGTTGGTTCACTGAACCTAACCTTGAGAGGCTTCGAAGGCTCTGCGTCTACGGAGGAGCTTGGGTTCCAGTAGTCCTTGTCTGGGGATCTTCTCACCAAAACCCAATCTTCATCGTCCACAAGAAAGCTAACACATAAAGTTTTTTTATTTTTTTATTTTTTGTTCCAGAATCCAGATCTGTTAGAACTGAGATCTATTTCTCTCTCAAATTTTTTATTTTTATTTTTATTATTTTTTATTTTTTGTTCCAGAATCCAGATCTGTTAGAACTTGGATCTATTTCTCTCTCAAAATTTATTTTATTTTATTTTATTTTATTTTTGTTCCATAATCCATCTCTCTTAGAACTTAGGTAACAAATAAATAAATAAACGAGCTATCAAGCTCTCGACTCGAAACTCGTCAAACATAGCTGAGCCAAGCCGAGCTTTAACTAAATTTTCTAAGCTCGACTCGAGCTCGAGCAAAGCTTGAGTAGCTTATTACCTAACCAAATCGAGCTCGAGCACACCATTACTTGGCTTGGCTCGGCTCGTTTGCAGCCCTATGGAGGAGGAAGTATTTTCAATGTAATTTCAAAATAGGATATTGATGATTTCAAAATAAAACCATGCGACAACCAGAATGTAGAGCTACTGCAGATCCATAAAAGGTCATTTACATTCCTTTATCGGGAAACTCAGAAAACCAAAGGATATTGCACCACCAGTGTAATGACCCGGTCGTTTTCCTTCATTTCTTTTTCGGTAATTTCTTCTTCTTCTTTTTTGTCCTTTTCCCTATTTTGTCTTTTTCCCGTTTATCATTTTTCCTTACATAACCTTACTTTTTGTGTTCGAATTTGATTCCGGTTTTGCATTCATCCATAATATTTGATTTCCATGATATTTGTATTTTTACTTTCATAGAAAAGCATGCAGTTGCTTACTTTTTCCTAAAGGGCATGGATGCATACTTTCTTGGAAACATTCTTGATTTTTGGGGTTTTGTTGTAATTATGTAAAGTAATTATTTTTCGTTTTAGGAACCATTTTGTAATTTAATTTGGAAGATATTTTGGAAAAGGACCTTTTTGTAATTTTTGAAAAAGTGTGACAAGTGTCACACTCTCATGGAGCCACTTGTTGGCATTGAGTGGAGTCACTTGGAAGTAATATCTTGTGACATGTGGAGGGTGGAAATTCACCCACTTATTGGCCTAGGATTGGTGCACTTGTTGGCCTGGATAGTTGACAAGTGTAGGCTTAGGATTAAGCCTAGGAAGGAACCATGGATTGGTGATAAGTGTAGGCACCAAATTGAGTCTTACATTGTGTTTGTGTGAGAGGTAGTGTAAGAACACCTAGTGAGTGGAGGAATACTAGTTCCTCCACCCACCTCATCTCATTTGCTATCAAGCCCGAACCTAGCCTCAATTGAAGGAAAAGTTTGGCTTAGAGCTTTTGACTTCATTTTAGCCTCCTTCCACTCACCTTAGACCTTTAACCTTGGGAAGTAAAAGTTCCCTCTCACTCTCCTCTATAAAACCCTAGTTTTGTCATCCATTTTAAGTTTGGTTGCTTTGGATTATAGAGATTCAATTCTCTATTGAGGTAAGGGTTGTAATGACCCAACCATTTTCCTTCCTTTCCTTTTCTCAGATTTTCACGGATATTTTTTTTCCGTTGATCTTTTCCTTTCTGAGTTCAGTTTCTCGTCACTTAGTGTCATCTTGAGTGCTCGAGGATGGTTTCCGAAACTCTTTTCCTTGGATTGACGACTTCCTTTGAGGACCGAGTCATTTTCATATTTTCACTTTTGTGACACTATTCACTTTCGTCTTTTTCTCTGTTGTCACTTTGTTGGCATAATCTCACTTTTTGTGTTTGGATTCGATTCCGGTTTTGTATGCATCCACGATATTTAAATTCCATACTATGTGTATTTTTACTTTTGTAGAAAAGCATGCTAAGTGCTTACTTTTCTTATAAAGGGTATAGATGCATGACTTTTTTATAATTTTTCAAACTTTAGGGGTTTTTGTGTAATTACTGTAAAGTAATTATTTTTCGTCTTAGGGACCATTTTGCAATTTAATTTGGGAGATATTTTCAAAAAGGACCTTTTTGCAATTTTTAAAAAGTGTGACAAGTGTCACACTCTCATTAGTCCACTTGTTGACATATGTGTGAAAACACTTTGAGGCCTTGGATGAGGACATGTGGAGGGTGGAGATTTAACCACTTGTTGGCCTAGGATTGATGCACTTGTTGGCTTGGATGGTTGAAAAGTGTAGGCTTGAGATTTAGCCTAGGATGGAGCCTTGGATTTGTGATAAGTGTAGGCTCACAATTTGATCTTGCATTAGTGTGTGTGTGTGAGGTAGTGTAAGAGCACATAGTGAGTGGAGGATCTCTATCCCCTCCACTCACATTTCATCTTCATCATTTTTCATTTCCTCCCTCTCTTGTAAAGAAAACCCTAGCCTCCATGGATGGAGCCTAAAGCCTTAAGCTTTGACTTTGATTTTTGAGAGCCTTTCATTGATTTCCAAGCTTGAACTTGGGAATACATTTTGTTCCCCTCATCTTCCTCTTCATAACCCTAGAGGGGTTTGCCATTTTGTGTTGATTTTGCCTTAGATTCTAGAGAGACACTTCTCTAGTGAGGTAGGGAATGTTATAGGGTTATATGTTTGTTGTCTTGCATGTTTTTTATGCTTATACAACTTGTATGCATGTAGTGTATTAATTTGAGAAATTATGATTAATGATAGTTTGCTTATAACTCATTTTAGACTTGGTAAATGGCATGGCCATGAGTTGATCTTTGATATATATTCATTTGGGTAGATTTAGATGAGTTTTCAAATCTAGAGATTAAATAGATTTAATTTGGTTTAAATTCTAGTAAATTGTGTTTTGCTTGTAGTCCATCTTAGACTAGATATATGGTATGACCATAACTTAGTGCTTAATATAAATTAATTTGAGATCATTTGGACAACTTTTGAAATCTAGAGATTTAATTGATTTAAATTAATTAAATTCTATTTGATGATATCTTGCTTATCTTGCACTTTTGATTTGATATATGTAAAGACCATGATATGTTGCTTAACATTTATTAATTTGAGGTTATTTGAAATCTAGAGAATTTAATCACCTTGTTTAATTAAATTCTATCTAATGGCTCCAAAGATCTATTGGTATTTTAGAAGTTGTTTCTATATTCAAATCATGGACTTGAACTTGTTATGTATTCACTTGATTGTGTTTTGAGCATTGGACAACTTTGTTGTTATATTTATATTCATGAGAACATGTTTTTTTTATAGAATATATTGATGCCATGTGTAGTGAATTGCACACTTTGTAATTGACATTATGTACGTCATTTTAGAATTGAAACTCTAAGACATGGATTGTGTGGTTTCAACCTACTTGTGCATGGAAGGTGTTTTCATGCATTATATAAGTTATGTATAAGTTGTGAACTTATTTGGTTTAATTTTGGAATCTTGGAACATTGTTGAGTTGAGATGGCTAGGGTTTGGCTCTAGTACGGGGACATGAGTCCTCTAAGTCATTGAGATAGTGCGCACTTAGGGTGGTCTTCCCTGCGGTTTAGTGTCCGAAATAACCATTGAGGTCTCGGCAGAATTCCGAGCGTAGATGTCCAAGTCTTCCATTATTTGTTTTCGCATTCAATTCCAAGATAACAATCATGTTTATATTGTAACTTGTGGTTTTAGTTATTGGCGATTTTGATGTTGTTAAGTACATCCATACTAAATTGATATATTTAGTTGATTTCACACTTTTAGATTTCTAGTTGATAACCTAGAGAACCTATGTCTTGATGTGTGGTATTAGATATTCTAATTATGCTAAATTATTATATTTAGTTGGTGTTGCATTTTAGACTTCAAGTTGATTACCTTGAGAATCTATATGTTGTTGCTTTGTGTAAGCATGCTCCTATGTAGTTGCTTTGTGTAAGCATGACCCTATGTTGCTAACATTGCATGAATGAGGTGATTGATGATAGAAATGATCCTAGGTAGATAGGATGCTCCTTGAGTCTCACCTTTGACATAGACGTTAAGT